AGCATTAGGTCAGAGTTGAGGTCAGGACATAGACTGAATTGGATTAGAGGAGCATGCAACTAGACCAGGGAAAGAAAAGAATGCGTCACAGCACTATTATTCTCTTTATATTCTCTCTGGGGATAAAAGATGATTCTTTCAACTGAAAATTATAGGTGAACCAGTTCTATAAATATTCACATTCAGTTTAAAATGGATCTTTTTTTGTTCTAACTTTTATAGCTACTTATGTTTAAATCAAGTATATTTGGTCTAAATTATAAAGCAAGTCTCTTTTAAGTTCCAGTCTGTATAGGAACTTACTAGAAACACTATTTAATTGATCTAGAGTCCAACCATTGTTAGAAGTTAACAATGAAACAAATAATCAAAATAAAATGTATTGGACTTGGTTTTTCAATGAAATGAGAAATAGAGAATAAACAAGTAATAAAAATTACTTGTTTATACAGCCATTCGACATTAGACCAGCTAATATACAATTATTCTTAGATGTTAAAAACTGCCCATAACAAAACTGAAAATTCTAAAATTATAAGAGAAAGTGAATAAAGACATAATTTGCTTAAAATTATTTACTTGTAAAGGAACTAAGATTTGTACAATTAAAGTTGTGAAGTGAAATAGGAGATTACTGTTATCTTACTTTTATTGTTACTACTGTTATAGTTTTATACCAGCATACTATTATACTTGCTTTTACTGTTGGCAAAACTCCTTGATATCTTTGGGTCACAGAATCTTTATCTGCAGAACAAAGGGAGAAAGCAGATATTTGTAAAGTACTTGTTTGAGTTTTATCTCTATGCTCTTAAAATCCGTGCATTGTATTTATTATATAAATCTTCTCAGCAGTTAATATGAAAATTTAAATAATTGGCCACAAGGGGGAGAACTCTAATTCTACATTAAATAATTTAATAGAATATGGAATAATCTCCAAAGTATTTTCTACATGAGGTTGGTGATAGGCTGCCTCATTTACACTTCCTCATGGAAGTTAGGGAATTCTACTGCTAGAGATAGGTTTAACTTGATTGAAATGTGGTTTTGTGCTACTGAAGTTATGATAAAGTCACAGGATGTCAAAATCTATTTGTATTAAGTAATAATGCTCCACGAAGAGATGCAGATGCCTCTTTTATTAAAATGATGATAGCAGAATTTCAGAATTTATTCTGGGAGAATTTTTTATTTAGAATAATATTATTTCAGTTATTCTTCAAGAAATCTATAACTTTACTGAATGTCCCCAGTCAATTCTGCAACAAGTGTAGAATTATCAACGCAGCAGTCTGTTGTAAAGTATCCATATAAAAAGAAAAAGATTAGAATGACAATGCCCATACAATTTGAATGTTATATGTACATTGACTATATGTGATATGTATTGTATGTTTTATTGTAAATAAATATTTTACTATAAGGAGACTAACTTTCATTGAGTGGATAATTACCTTGTGAGTTTTACTAAGATTTATTGATCCACATTTTTGGATTTCATCAAAGTAAACCATATTTGTAAGTTATGAATATAAAATTTCTGGATTTTATCGAATAACTATACATACACAACTCATTTAAAGACATTGTGACAAAGACATTTAAAGACATTGTGACAATGACATTATTATCTCAATAATGCATTTGTTACTAAAAAATATTTGTATTTCCCCCTCAGAGGCAATGTCACACTCTTTTTAATGTGTTCAATGACAGCAGATCATTCTTTGAGAGTGAGTGTAGTATTTAACAACAAGAATTTCTATGAATAAACATTGTATATTAAAGTTACTAATAAAGGTGCATAATAATAATAATTTTGGGATCAAAAATTAGATGTAACTAAAATATTTAAGCTCTCTTTGATTCATATACCTACTTCATTCAGTTGTCATAAAAGAGTCATAAAACAATTGTCAGCAATGGTTTTGTCACCGGAATAAGTATAAATCCTCCTAAAGTGATTTCTGTGAAGTGTAATTTTCATCCGCATAAATTCAGACTGATGTGTTTCCTAAAATAAATAAATAATGAAGTAACTCATTTACTTTTAGACATTTTGTGTTTAACTTCCAGTTATTTTCATAGTTGAGGCTTTATAAGTTCTTTAAATTCAAAATTGCAATATACTAAGTAAGTTGGCAATATTAACATTTAGGGTTATTCTATAACATCATTAAAAAATGATTCAAGTGGTTAATGATTTTCTTTGGTTTAATGAATTGGTTTTTTGTCAGTATTTTTAATACCAGAAAGTATTGTAGACCAATATTCTAGGCAGTATGGTAGATACACACATATCCAGGGACTAACAGTGATTGACCTTACTAGTAAGTATTTACTAGTAGATATGCAAGAAATTTTTTGGTACATAAATTAATGACTAATAAGTTTCATAGGACAGCTTACATATATATAATCTATACATATATATACACACACACACATATATATATATATAATTTCCCCCCTTATATATTATTATTGTTCTGGACTACTGTATATTAATCCACTCAATACATAGTGACTTTAATTAACAATAGTTACATATGTTGTTCACAGATCTGCAATTTGGGCAGGACTCAGTGGGAACAGCATATCTCTAGTCCACATAGTGTCAGCTGGGCTGGCTTTTAGGGTTAACTGGAAGGCTGGAGTCTAGAATCAACTGAAGTCTCACTCACATGTGCAATGAAAGATATTGGATATTGACTGGAATATTAGTAGGGGATGTCATCTGGAAACTACTGGACTGCTCACAGCACACTGTTGGAATTTCAAGAGCTAACACTCAAGAGAGCAAGGCAAAGTGTACAATATTTTAATGACCTAGGCTTGGAGATCACATGGAATCACTTTTGTTGTACTTTATTGCTTGAGGCAGTCATCACAAAGGTTTGCCTGGATTCAAGGAGAGAGATTTAGAAGCCATCACATGATGGGAGGAATATCAAGGTCATGTTATAAAAAGACCATGTGGGATTGGATATGTGGCAGTGACCTTTTTGAAAAATATAACGTGCCATAATTTCATATTTATAAATATATAATTATTATCCATATGACTAACTTCTATTCACTTGCTAGCTTTAGAAAGTATCATTTCCAAAGAAAATTCACCCTACTAAAGAAATTTTATCTGCTCCAATGAACATTTATTATTCATTTTCTCCTTCCTATCTTTGTTCATTCTGCTAAGTATGCTGGTCTTCCCTTCCAAATCACTTTGTACATTCACTCAAATTCTGGAAAAAACTTATATATATCTTCAATAAGTATTTGTTCCTTTTTCCCCTAGAAAACATTTACTCTCATCTCCACTAATTTTGTCACAATTCATTTACTATTGATGGGCCCCTGTGTCTTTTTCATAGTCCAAAGAGTAGATAGCACATTACTGACTAATACCAAGTATTTAATATTTTCTAAATAGGTACAAATTTTTAAAAGTATTCACTATCAATAGAGGAATTGTTTCTCATTTTATCAAAAATATTTTTTCTCTTACTAAATAAAAAGGAAAGATACTTCAAGTATATTTAAAAATGAAAAATACCACTCTTTTAAATTATTTGTTACAAAAACTGAAAATAGGAATAGTCTTTTTAAAAATTTGATTCTGATATGAAACAATAATGCCAGGTTTTCTGCATGTGAAAAATGTGAGATGCACACTGACTTTTTTTTTTAACTCCAAAGAAACCAAATTTCAAATAAATAATAAAAATGAAACTAAAATGACATCAGCATTTCCTCCATTAAATCCAAAATCTGTTTTCTAAGATATTAAGGTGATTTTGGAAAAATATCATTGCAGTAGTTAAAATATTGATGTCATTTAATTGTTTAAGCAAGCTAAACCTTTTTAAACAATGCAAAAGTATTAATTTTGAATAAAGAAAGAGAGGGATCAACTTGATATTGATCACATAGAAATTATATATAATTAGTTTCTTTCTAGGAAATGAATTGAGAAAATAACCAGTTTGTTTATCTTCCAGGGAGTCATGTAGAAATAAGTTTCACAAATGGGCAGTTAATGACTTCTGTGTATCCTGCCATATCTCTTTTAGAGCTGAGCAAATGCCTGTAACATAGAGGGATGCTCAATTAATGATATTAAATGAAGGAGTGTGAAGCCAGCTGATCATGTATCTTCTTGTCATTGCAAATGGCTATAGTGTTCTGTAGCTTTATACTAGTCTCAATATTCTTGATTACATAGACTAAAATATGTGAACTGTGAAAATATTCCAATGGGGAGATTTTGTTTTTTGAGTGCAAGAATCATACAGTGATTACTTGTCCTCTCAAAACCCTTCCTAAATTCTGCTACTATATAATAATTGTCCTGCTATGTTATATTGTTTATGTTATATATTATATCATAATTATTTTAACAGATATTTTTAAGGTACTTGCCTCTAAGCTTAGGTTACAGTTACTTAAGGGTGGAATTTTTTTCCCTAGCTTTTGCTCCCTCAGAACAATGTACTTCTGCTGTGTATTAGTGTCTATTCATCACTGAATGAATGAATTAAGGATAATCTGAAATGTGTTTATCTTTTCTCATCCATACTTTTCTTTCAATAATTGCCATTTCCAGTAATGGGAAACTGTCAGGGGAGGGGGGATGGGAATGGCAGTTAAGGGAAACTGCTAGGGGAGGGAGGGGAATACCTTGTCAACAAGGTTACCTGCATAATCAATGTTTGTATACCTAGCCCTGAATTATACCCCACATCTTTATAATTAAAAAAATAAAAATAAATAAAAAATTACTCTTAAGGAAACCCCCCAAAATAATTGCAATTTCAACTAAATGATGTTAACATTTAAGAATTTATTAAAGCCATCTATTACAATAATGTATTGAACTTGATATCAGAACAAGTAGACTTTTACATTTAGCTCGACATACTCTGCAGAGATGAATATATTACCATTGTGTATATTGCAGTGTTCTGTTCCTTTTTTTAAGAGAAAAGCAACTTTAGAAATATTTTCCTTTTATTTAATTAGCATAAATTCCTTAAGAGATGTGAGCAATTCACATCTCATCCCTAGAAACAGGAAGGAGCAGGCCATACCACCTCAGAGTCCAAAGTGACATCTATAGGTCTGTCGTACATGTTTATGAATGTTGCTGGGTCCATGAGTTCTTCTGATTTGCACAAGTACTTTATGATTTGTTCTGAAAGGAGTAGATCAGGCACAGATTGGTGCAAGTTATTGCCTGGTCCTTTAGTGCCCACTTTAGCAGTCTTACAAAGGTGGAGTGACAGTTTATGAGTTTGGGTGAGAAACTCTGTGATGACCTCTTTTAGGGACTGTGATTGTGTCACATCATCGAGATACATAACTGGAACTTTTATTACTGAAACATGCCATTGCATAAAAAACCTTGTTGGGATGTTATGGGAAATGACTACAATTTTCATTTCTTGGATAAAATATTCTATTTCATTTTTTTTATGACCAATATAATCTGAAATAATTCGGTAAAGCGTACCACTGGACGACTCAAGGATAAGCAGCAGGGAAGTGGGGTATATAAGCAATAATCCTGTCACTGCTTCTCCTAGGTGTTGTTTCGAAATTGTGTGAAACACTTCTTCATAGTATTCAACAATTTCTTTTCTTTCCACATTTACTTCTATTCTGGCTACTAGAAACATCCTATTAAGGAGGAATTTCTTTAGCTGTAGTCTTTGTTTCTCCTCTTGAAAGTGCAAGTAATTGCTACGGGGAACTTGTGGCAACAGAAGAGGTTCCAATGGATAAGGTTTTTTGCTGGTCTTCCGGTTATGGACTGAGAAGGACATGATGATGCTTCTTTATTCTTCTGGGCGATGCCACTTTTATCTTATCATGATATTGATACTATCAGGGTGCACCTTTATTGATGAACTCTTGTTTTATTTCTTCTGACAAAATAGAAAGAGTAAATCACCGTTTGTCAAATGCTACTGAATAGCAAAATTGCTTTCCAGTGTTATCGATAAACATGTTTGAAATGAAAGAGAATATTTAAAAAGTCTCAAACTATAGAGATTTTTAAATGTTTACAATGAAATAGCTAATAATCATATCCTAGGGAAAAAAAATCTCTAAATATAATAGTGATTGTACATTGTCTTTTGTCAAAAAGTTTAAAAATGGTATTTTTATGGCAATTCTTCCCATTTCTTTTATACATTTAACTGGTCTATAAAATTTTTTTAAAAGATCTGGGGCTTTCTAAGTCCTAATTAGCTTAGTTAATTTTTATTTAGGACACTACAGGTAAATAGCGTTGCTTGGATAGTAACAGTAAGCATTTCAAGTGACAAGTTTTCATTGTTTTTCCCCTACAAACGAATCTCAGAAATGACCTTCCCCCCCCCTTTTTATTTGTTGTAAGGGCTAAATAAAATGACCTCATACTTTACTCTTCTTACACATCTTTTTTTGGGAGTCTAGGTCAATTTAATGTTTCTTTCTTTATACAAGTTCTTCTTTCATTTACCTGTCCTCAAAGCCTGGTGTCCTCCATCAGGCTTTCAACTGCCAAGCAGCTGGTGCTTGCAACTGCCCTGTATTCTGACTTCTATAGGGCATCAGTGCATTAGAACCTCAGTGCCATTAAAGGGTCAGGTGCACTCGCCACTCCCATTTCTTAATTTAGTGAGCGTATTTTAACAAACACCTCAAAGTCACCCAGAGTCACTGTACAGAAAGTCCAAATGGTTTATTCCTGATTGGCTTGTGTTTTAGCCAGGTGCATTTGCAAGTCAGACAGATAGTGAACCTGGACAATCTTTTTTGTGTTTTTTCTTTCTGGCAAATAAAAGTATGATTGTAGAACTCCTCTGTTCTACTTAGACACTAATTAAAGACTATATAAGAGCACATATCTGAATCTGTGTATGGTGAACGTATTATAAGACAGTTTTATAATAATATATGGTTTTCTTTATGTAATATGAATTAAGTTATTTAAAATTAAAAATATTAATACAATTTTAAAAAATTGCATCCTTATGAGTTCTGAACAGTAGTCTCAGAGCAACAAGGTTAGAAAACACTTTAATTTAAAAAATTTAAACCAAAGAGTACTTTCTCCTGCATTTTGTGTTATCCAAATTAGTGACCTGGTTTTAATAATATACAGTAATAAGTTATCTAGGAAAATGGAGACAAATAGGTGACTTAATACTTCTTTAATTGTGTAATACATAAAAAATGACTATACTTCCTCACTGTGATTCACTTCACTCCCTAAGACAATATAATACTTCCCAAAGTGTTGACCTTGTTGCCAAACCTTGTCATTGCCCTATCTAAGGATTGTCTCACCCACATTCTTCTTACTGTTGTGCAGAATGTGACCATATTGAACACAGCCTCCATTATGGTCTTCTCTCCTTTCCTGGTTTCTATGATACTGTACTTTCCTGGATTTCTTCCCAAATCTCTATACATGGCCTAGCTCAATTCCTTCTTACACCCAACTCTGGACAGTGCTTAAAGCCTGTACTAATCATGCAGACCTCTCACTCTGCTTTCTCGTCCAGCTAACCTAGTGCCATCTATGTTTTTTGTGAGGGCAGATAGGTGGTGCTTAATACCATTGTTATCTTTAGATTGCATGACTGACACTGAGGCTTGATCATGGAGCTTTCCTGTGGAATTCAGCTATAGACTAGAAATCCTTTTCAATCTAAGGCTCCAGGCAGACACAACTAGTTGTCTGGAGTTGACACAAAAGAAAAATCTAAGTTTCCATTCCAGAATTTTATCTGCATAGAAGACTCCCAAATTGTTGTCTTAAGTCACTTATTTATGACTCTTCTCTCCTTGAATGTAACTTTTTTTTCTGTCTATTTGAAATGGCAACATTTAAATAATTATTTTCCCTATCTTCCTTCACAAATACCTCACTTGTGTCTAAATTTTTTTTAAACATATTTTTTATTATAAAATTGTGGGGTACAGTTAATAGTTAGGTATACAAATGTGCATCATTTAGGCACCCTTGTTATTAGGGGGTGTCTCCCCAACCCCAGACAGATATTGACTACTGTTAGTCCCACCCCCCTTCCCCTCCCTACTCCCCCATAGTTTCCAACCACTGTCAGTCCTTTCTTTATAGTATTATGGTAGATGTTCAAGGTCCACTATATGAGTGAGAACATGTGATACTCAGATCTTTGTTTCTGTGAGAGATCACTCAGTATTATAGACTCTAGTTCCATCCAGGTTGCTGCGAATGCTTCATGATTTTGTTCTTTTTCATGGCTGCGTAGTATTCCATCGTGCATAATTTAATATTTTTTTCCTCTCAGATCCCAAACCAAAATTATTGGTCTTATCTTTTCATGTTTTCATGTATACCTCAATTCTATTCTATTACTAAGTTTTTTTACTTACTTTGATAGACCTTATGAGTGCTTGACTTCCACTACTTCATTCACAGTCTAACCTATTTATTTGAATTATAATGTCATGTAACCTCAGTATTTCTAGATTTTCCCACCCAACAAATTCAGCTAAGGAATGAAACTATAAACCCGTATGATAAAAACTGATTTATCATGTTAAAAGAACACTGATTTTTCAAAGTCTTCTCTGCTTACTTCTCCTCCATAGATGCCAGGAGAGGATACTTCCTTCTTCACCAAGTCTAGAGTGATTTCAGGCATTTATTTCCATCACTCATGATGGATTACACCAGAGAGAATGTGGGGACAAGCAAGAGTGTGATGTGCTGCCTAATATGACAACTAATCAAAGTCAGTAGGAGAATTTACAAAGCACTGCTACTCAGGAGCCCCTTTTCAGTGTATAGACTCAAATTAACCTTTTACACTCATAAGTAACATATTTCCCCTTCATGAAACTGTTCTTTATCTACAGCACAATTTCCTCCCAAACTTGGTCAAGGACTATCCCTCAAAATAAGGCTTACTGTAGAATGTACTGCCCTGCCTCAAACTTCTATGGACTTCATTGACATATCTTTTCTGAATACAATTTCTCAAAAAATAAAAGATCAGCTGTTTTAGCAAATTAGAGTGATGCACAGTAAAGATTTAGACAAGATTTTTGATTTATCTGATCAGATTCCCACTATCATCTTAGGTTCCCTAACTTGGGATAAGTAATAAAAACTATTTCATAGTTCTGCTTGCTTATTTTATGGCTTTGCTATCTGTCCTCCAAGTCTGACTAACTTTCACTGATTCTTCTGAGTTACTTTTTAAAAGATTTCTATTTCCACTGGCATCACAACTTTGATGCCTGCCTCTTTCTCTAAATCATCGCTTCTCTTTTGATCAGTAATTTTCAAACAACATCTCCCTGGTGATTATGTGTCTTGCCACTTTTTTGCTCCTATAAAATGGGACTCAGTGATAATCCCCTCACGTGTGTTTTTTGTTTCCCCTTTCTTTCATATAACTTGTTTCCTCCGATATAAACCTATAGAAGAATGATATTTCATCATAATAAACATATAAACTCCATAAAAACTAAGTCATCTCTTCTTAAGAAGAGTGATAATCTTTTAATAAAAAATATGAATTGTCATTTCTATGAGTTCAAAGTCTGATAGCAACAATATTGTGCTTCAAACTAATACATTTAGAACAAATAGTTTTTGTCATCATAAATAGCTTGACCTACATCTTTATTTCATTTTCCAAAGTACTTTTTCATTTCTCTATGCATTTTTTGTCATTGTTTTAAGTCTCCGCATTGTAATTTCATTGTTACTTGGCTATCTGAAAGGTTTAAAGGCAACTAACTTTGTTTTCTTGCCTGCTGGAGACCAGCTCCAGCTGGGTTCAGGGTACCCCAAAGGTGGAGACGGCGTCAGTGATTGGGGGAAAGGAGAGAGAAAGAAAGAGACTGGACTCCAGTCTAGTGCAAAAGCGAATGAGTATTATTGGGAATTACAATGGGTCTTTTATACACAAGTCAGATGTGGGAGGGGCATCCCCCACCCACCAGAAAACTTAATCCATGAAAACTTAATCAATGATTGCCTTTAAACCCTTTTCATATGACAATCTTAAAATCCCATAACAAAGGATAACCTAATTCATGACTGACATATTCTATAAATCTTTTTCATCCTAAACTGATTGATTTATGCCAAGTTAAGCAATTCTATAGAAGCTTAAGTATTTACTTTACAAATGAAAGTGGCCCATCCCAGAATGTTTGGAATGTGGCCCAGTCCAAAGTTCACAGTGGGCTACCTGCAAGTAACCCAGTTGCATTCTTTCAACAAAATGGTTGTCTTCTAAAACCATATTCTACAATTTACACCTTCAATAAATCCTAAGATCATGACCCAGAAGCCTGTGACCAATACTAAGGCTCTTAGATGTGACACAAGTTTGAATTATAAGTTGTGTGAAAGCCAAAACTGCAGTTTGTGGAAGAATGGGAGCAATGAGCTTCTAAAGTTAGCTTGTGTTCATCCCGGTCTCAGAGTTTTTATGTTTTGAGCTCACAGGAGCTTAATCTGGTTATTGCTGAGTAGAAAGGGGGAGGAAATGAGGTCAAATAGCTCCCAAACGCATCCTAGTGGTCTCGGGGTCAACGGCCCTTCCTGATCGCTAATGCTCAATGGGCCTCCATGGCTGGCTCCCAACAAAAAAAGATACAGAAGGCCACTACATAATGATAAAAGGTTCACTCCATCAACAAGAAATATCTATCCTAAACATATATGCACCCAACATAGGAGCACTAACTTTCATAAAGAAGCTTCTAGAAAAACTCAAGAAAGATATTGACTCTAACACTATCATAGTTGGGGACTTTAATACCCCAC